ATCGTGAAAGTAATACCACTGGCCTCTTAGGTCTCACAGACCACACTAGAGACTCCACAATACCACAAATCTTCGGCCACACTGGCCTTGGGTTTGTCAAAACCCCTCTCCCACAGGTAACCAAAATCGCTGTGTACCCACTGTCAGTGTATTATTTTTAACTGTTAGTGTTTGTTACCATCACAGCAGGCGTCGCCATCTCCGGATTCAGGCGCGGTGTATGATCCACCGCCGACCTACCCAGCGCAAAGAATGGACTCGTGAAGCACGGTTTCCAGCGGCGGGATGTAGCGCCCCGGGAACTTGCAGCGATGTGTGGTACCACCCGAAAAGGCGAGTGGCATGCTGACCGACCAGGCAACATTCGCATAGAGTAATGTAATGTCTTAATAACTCCATGTTTTTCCATAACCAGTGTTGTGCCTAGAGAATTTCGTTCTGTCCGTCTTATGCACGTCTTGCTAGTGAACAAGATCTTCGAGTTTATTTTAACAGGCGACACCGAGTGGATATTTCGGATTGGCTCGATGCCGTATAATCGCTGAATGACGCATAATCCCTCATGGCAGAAATGCATTTCCCAAAATGCCATTCCTCGACAGCACTATAGCGCCTTCTCAAGTTATATCGGAAGTGCGCGCATGCAACCGACAGGACCACGAAGAGAGCTGGTGTCGCTGGTGTGGGCTGTCTCGCATCGAACAAGCAGCGATTGCAGTCCGACCGTACGAAGTGGAGAATTGCAGCGCTAAGCGTGTACCAAACGTCTTCAATCACATCCTTGCACTCCTTCCACTCTCCCTGGACGACTATTTTCTTCGTTATTGCTATCATGGTCCAAGTCAAATGAGATCGGACAAAGGGCGCCATCATGTTCTTGAAGTGTTCCCCAGCCGCGATGCGAGCGCACACTTGAAGAGCAAGTGCCGTTTCGACTCGACAGCATTACACCCGTTGCGAACGAGATATGTGATGCGTGATTTCGACTGTTGCAGGAACCAAAACCGTGAGCGTACCGGGAGAAGCCAAAACACCAAACGGAACTGTAAGTCTTCAAATACGGGGAGAAGAATCTGGCGAAGGTGTTTCCTGTACCGTGTAAAAGTCTTAACTTCGACTCCACCGACACTATGCGAGTGCAAAGACATTAAATTGGACATGTTTGACGCCTTCTGCTTCCACACAACCCGAAGAAGAGCTCTCCTATGTTTTGATGGTATCAGACACACCTTTGAGCCGCTCGTGCAGCCCAAGTGAGGAAATGTGCGTTGTTGTGATCTGACTTCTTCCGTCAGACTCCAAGTCTACTCGCAATCTGAGTCGCTTCTCGATACAGAGAGCGCAACCATTGGAAC